TAGATATTCAAAGAAAGTAATGTTTAAATTTGTGTTTTTGGAGGGAGTTTATATAGAATGATGATTGTATTTAAATTTGTTTAGGTTTTAAAAGTGTTTTAAGTTTTTTTTTTTTTTAATTAAGCCTGTACTCAGCTCTGGGAAGTCCAGGGGAGGGTTTGGGAGGTTGGGAAGGGGGGGGGTGAGGTAGGGTTGGGGGGGTATGGGAAGGGGATTTGTTTTTGTAAAATGTAAAAAATTTTCAATAAAAAAAAATAATGACTCAAAGGCACTGTAAAATAAAAAGAGCTAAGCTAAAAAAAAAAAAAAAACACCTCTCCAAGAATCAAATGAAATGCTGCTTTCAGATCCGTGAAAGTTGCATCAAGAGCACCTATAGGAGTGTACTGGGTACAGAGGCAATGCAAAGTGATACATTGATCAGCAAAAGAAAAACCGGTTCTAAAACCGGTTCACTTCACTGCTAAAAAAAAATTCTTGGACTATCTCATCAGTAAGTTTATAAAAAATGTAAGGTGCCAAGTATACATAGTAAGCTTATAGAATAGTAATAGCACTTAAGACTTATTTACCACTTCACAGTGCTTTACAGCCCTCTCTAAGCAGTTTACAGAGTCAGCATATTGCCCTCAATAATCTGAGTTTTCCTTTTACCAACCTGGGAAGGATGGAAGGCTGAATCAACCTTGAGCCAGTCAGGATGGTGGTTACCTGGATTGGTTTTTGCAACATCACTCTTTAATAGAAATCGAGCAGAATGTGAAAGGGGATCTGCTACTGCTTTTGAAGAAGGTCCAGGTTTCACTAAAGATGGAGAAAGAAAGGTATAATGAATTAGGATCATCAATCATTTTTAGAGCTTGAGGTTGAAGAAGCAGATTGTTTACTGCTTTTTCAGTGGCAGTAGGAATTGGTGTCAGATTACCTCCTTTGTGAGATAAAATAGTGAAGAAATCTTGTTTTAAGCTGTTCAGGCTGTCAGTAATAGTGGTGTGTTTCCTACTTGGGAGCTATGAAAAATGTGCAATTCCGCTATCTGTGACAAATGTGGGGCAGGACCCATTTGAAAAATATGCTCCTGGTGTCTGATGGATGCAATTGCACTTAGGAAATTCCCAGTTATCTAGTGCAGAGGTCCCCAACCTTTTGGCACCAAGGACCAGTTCCGCGGAGAGAGGTTTTTCTGCGGACCAGAGGATGTGTGGTTTTGTGTGCTGCCTGCATCCTGCGGATGGGGCTTTGCTTGTTTGTGCTGACCGGTTGCTGGCATGTCAAGGCCACGTACTGGTCCATGGACTGGGGATTGAGGACCCCTGATCTAGTGGGCAGCTCTGCCTAATGCTTTAGCCATTGGCAACAGGAAGGAGATAAAGAACTGAATGACATTCCCCTGAGAAGTTACTTTCTGCTGATCAATCTCTGTTGACCTCTTGGTGAAGATTTCCAAAAAATGAGGCAGCCAAAACAATCCCTAGAGAGAGAGAGATGCCTTTATTTTTCTTCCTTACTAAGTCCACACATTGTCATTCAGCAACTCTTTTGAAGATAACTAATCTCCTATTGAGAGCCATTTTGGTGTAGTAGTTAAGGCAGGGGTCTTCAAACTTGGCCCTTTTATGACTTGTGGACTTCAACTCCCAGAATTCCTCAGCCAGCGTGCCTGGCTGAGGAATTCTGGGAGTTGAAATCCACAAGTCATAAAAGGGCCAAGTTTCAAGACCCCTGAGTTAAGGCATCAGGCTAGTTCTTCCTTGGGCACAAAATCAGCTTGGTGACCTTTGGCCAGTCACTTTTTCTCATCCCTAGGAAAGAGTCAATGGTAAATCACTTCTGAAAAACCTTGCTAAGAAAACTGGAGGGACTTGTCCAGGTAGTCTCTGAGTATTGACACAGTTGAGTGAAAAAAAATAAATTCCCTACTATATTAGTAAAAAGCCAATAGCAAGTTATAATACTTGGTCTAGTCACCATAGCCAATTTTACACAGCCCTTTGCTGACAAAGCTGCTCAAATTGGCTAGAATCTTAACTTTAGCTTAGTTATTCCCAAACTTGAGAAAAGTTGGATGGCAGTTGAGCTGGAGATTATAGGAATTGTAGTCTCAACCATTTGGAAAATAGTATTTGTAGAAGACAGATAAGAATGTTGCTAGAGTTTGAAGCAGTCTCTGTATGAATCACAGTCTCTATACTGGGTGTGGTTCTTGATGACAAGGCATTTGAGGCAGTGACTAAGGAGACAGTGTAGACACAACAGGTATTGCCTTCTCTGATTGGGCCGTCCTGCTAAGTATCTGCTTTGTAGTTCCTGAATGAGCAGCTCATATCCCTCATGAGAATGTGGCACAATCTGGAGCTGATTAGAAGGAGGCAAAACCAAAGCAAAGAACCATGCAGAAATGTGGGCGTGCACATGTGTATGGTAATCTCCCTGTAACCTTGCTTTGAGCTTGTAGAAATCTATTTAATTTAATTCGCTGGTTTCATGTGACATACCATTTGAAAATCCAAGAGACTATAATATATCTGAATGGAGTTTTGCCCAGTACAGAATGCAGTAATCCAGTCGCGTAACATTGCCAAAGCTAGAATTAACTGTGGCCATGTCCCTCCTATCCCTTATTTTAATAAGATTGGGGCAGATCCATGTTTAAACCTCCAGTCTTCCACTGTCTGATCTCATTTTTCTTAAGAAGAATAAATGTTGCTCTTTCTCAGACTTCCTGGAGCCTTTTGCTACATGATCTTGTTCCAGTTATTCTGAGCTGCTAATCTAATGTGGAAAGAGGACAGGATTGTGCATGTGTGTGTGTGTGTAAGAGAGCGTGCTGAAACCAGGCAAATGGCTTGTCAGCTGCAGTGTTAGTGATCCCATTTGCTCTGTAGTTTTGATGTGGAAGTGTTTGAAGGGGTATAGATTCAGTGGGTGAGCTAAACTCAAAAGAGGTTTTGTTTAGCATGTGGTTAGGGTTGAAAGTTTTTCTTTAAAAGACGGGGGAAAAAACTCCCATGGCAGTTTAACAAAGTGATTTAAGAATGACTGTAATAAATTTCCACATTGAATGGCAATGTATTTATTGCTGGGTTGAGGTTTGTGGATTACAATTAGGCAAATTCACCACCCTCTGCCAAGTTGAATTTTATTTTATGTACCTTTCACAACTTTGATTTTAATTCCATGATAAAACAACAAGGCAGTATGGTGGTCTCAGACAGTATCTCATCCAGGAGCCTTTCATATAAATTCTCTGTTACACTCCTACAGATATGATTATAAATACTAGCTTGTCTTCAATAGTCATTGCGGTTATATAATAAAAAGGATCCCTAAAGAGATAAAAAAGAAATAATCCAGTTTAGTTTAGAAAAGTTTTATAGTAGATTATCTGAAGATGTAATTTCTATAGGTAGCTTTTAACAAGTCTGATTTATGCTTATAGCACCTAGAGGCTGGTGCAGATATGGTACCGGTATCTTAACTATGATTAAGGACTCCATCTGTAATACAGCATAATATATTATGTTACAGATCTCTTACCAGAAACACTTTTTGAACTATAAGATTGTAACATCCAGATGTCTTTTAAGACACAAATGTTACCTTTGAAAAATAAACCTTCTGTGCTGGATGCATCTATTAGTTTATCTTGAGTACCAACCTGATGACGACGACAACGATGACGATGATGATAGAACAATAATAATAATGGAAATTTTGAACTTATTAACTTGAATATCCTGACTTTGCAAAAAACCATCCTAATTGGAACAGCCTATATACTCAGATGCTACCTTAGCAGCTCTTAGGTCCTTGGGACTTGAACTGTTAAGTTTTTACTAGTCTCAGACTGAAAATAATAATAATAATAATAATAATAATAATAATAATAATAATAATAATAATAATAATAATAGACAATGCCTCATACACAAATCTTCCTAAAGGCTTGTAATACGTTGACCGCTGAACAGACATTGCCAAATCTCATGCATTGAAAGAAAGAACAAAAAGCTTTGTGTAGTTTCCCATGCTATGCCAAGATGCTCTCACCAAGCTTAGAAATATAGCAAGGCCTCTGAAAGATCTGGGAAGAAAGAGTCTTTGGAGTAGGTGGCACACAAACTTATAAGTAAAGTAGGTTTTAAAACAGAACTGTGAGGCATATCCTGGGGGTAAGCCAATCTGCAAAATGGGTCTTTTACAGTATATATTGCTGATGCTGTGCTCAGTTTCACTACAGAACAGTATTCAGGAGAGCAGTGGAAACAAGTGAGAACATGCAACCTTGAGAATATTTCTTTAATTTAGGACGGGGGTGTCAAACTGCTGGCCCATAGGCCAAATGCATCATAGCGAAACTGCACCCACCCCATTGCTGGAAATGGAAAAAAAGTTGTCATATGTCACGACACATCACGTGACATTGCGAGTTTGACACCCCTGATCTAGGATATCAACCCCCCCCCCATCATCCTTCTCACCAGCAGTAGAGGGAATATGCTGTAGTTACTGGTCTAGATCCAGTTCCCCACCCTGCTCAATAAAGTGCATGAGAAGGAAAGTCCAGAATCAGCAATGGCCGAGGGAAGCTTACTGTGCCTAGTGTGTACAACGCAAACACCCAGGCCAAATGCAACAGAAGGAGGGGGTCAACGAACTAGAATTTTAAACTAAAATGATATAAGAAATGAGAAATATTGTGTCTTGACTTTTGACAGGCAGGGTGCCTATGAGAACAATGTTGCTTAGAGTCGACACTACTCCTCTATAGTAAAAATTCTAGGTCTTGGAGATGCAACATTTATGATCCCGATATGAGATTTCTGAAATATGAGTTTCATGTTTTGCATATAATACCTTCATAAATATAGCTAGAGCAAACCTTGGCACCTACTCTTAATTTTTAGATGCTTTATAAAATCTTGCAGTAACTCTCAGTGAAATGTCACTTGCCACCCACAACCTTATTTAATCTAATCCTGTTTTTTTTCTCCTCCCAGTTGGTCCATTGCGTGTGGAGTTTTCACAGCCTGTGAATCTGAAGAATGTGGAGGAGGAAAATCCAGAACTCAGGGAAGGAGGCCACTATACACCAAAGGACTGCAAAGCACTTCAGAGAGTGGCAATTATTATCCCTTTCAGAAATCGAGATGAACACTTGAAATACTGGTTGTTTTACCTGCATCCAATCCTGCAAAGGCAGCAGCTTGATTATGGCATCTATGTGATTAACCAGGTAAGAGTGCTGAAGGGATTGGTGCACATAGGAAAGAGGTATGTGTCTGCTGTTGGTTTCTTTTGCATATCTTTTTGTACTGCATAGTGATGAAATTGGAAGCTTAATCTTTTAAAAGATCCTTGCTTTGCATGCTGTAACAAAACCAATAAGAGTTGCTTTAATTTTTTTTTTTTAAATTTCTAAATTGTATGCCCTGCATTCCTGGCTTACAAAAGCAGCTAACTGCCTTTATAAAACAAACCAAGTACAATATAAAAACATTACTATAGGCCAAGGTTTCTATAAGAACTTCAAAGTAGATTACACCCCCCCCCATCTTTCACATCTGCCCAATCTCAGAATTGTTGCCAATAGCCTCAAAATCAGGCCACAGCTTCCAGATTGAAGTCCTTGTAGATCTACCTCTGAATGTCCAATAATAAAGTCATATAGGTGGAGAAGGTCTTACCATTGTTGCCATTAATATTTAATGCAGTAAATTAGCCTGTTATCTTGTTAACCTACATAGAACTATAATGAATAACTCTCCCACCCTAAGCTAACTTATTCTTATATAATTAAAATAACCATGGGGGCCTGCCATATTTTGCCTGAGTAGAAATAGTAAAGTTACAGAATTCTATAAAAATCCAGAGATTTACCTAGTGTTACGGTTCTATGATACCTCAAGATATTTTTAATTAATGAATATTTTTATGTCATATCTTTATTCTTGGACATCAGTTCTGAGAACATTTTTCTTTGGAGTAAATTTCCTTCTTTCTGTAGTATTACTTATTGAGATGCCTACGTTCATCTGCTAGAGAGAATACATTTTTACCTTTGTGATATTCAAAGAAGGACAATTAATCCCCCCACTTTTGACTTCTTTCTTTTAGGGCACATTGGTAGTTGCATAGGAAAATGTATTAGGTTTTGAGGGTAAAAGACCTGTAGATAATTTGGGCAGGTGAGCAAGGAAGCTAAACATCAATACTCTGATAGAGACAAAGAAAGTTGCAATTTTTTTAGAGAAGTTACCCAGACTCTATCTGGTGGATCTAGGATCTAGATTATTGAATTGCAGGGTCTAGGTTTCATAGTTTCCTGCTCTCACTGTTAGCCCTGGCCACCAAAGAAGCTGATGCCAGACCTCATCACATTATTTTTAGTTTGTCCTATGGCATCCATATGACTTGTACTATAACTACCTTTCTTGTATTAACAGAATCTCAGTAGCAGAGTATATGGCTACAAACAGTAAGAAATGCATTAAGAGAATCGTGGCCAGTTCTTCTGATAAATAATGAGTGTATTTATCACTAAAACAATCCACAGGTGGTGTATCCTCCCATAATGTGAATCATAAGTCATGGTGAATTTGCGGATTTTTAATCTATTTGCATAAAGGTGTTGGTTCTAGGGTTTTTCTTGTTTTATGAGCCGTCAGGATGTGATTTTCATGTGCCAGTTTCATAGGCTGTGAAGTTTGTCAGTTTCATAGACTATGTACAGCTGCCTAATGTGCTTAGTAATACCTGATTCTCAAGGAGGAACTAGTAGTTCAACATCTTGTGTGTGGGCAGAGATTGCATCAGTTAAACAGCCTGGCTTAGATAGGATTTTAGTCAAGATGTCTGAAGTGGTATGATCAATCTAGAGCCCAGGTTAGATTTCTTTTTGCCACTCCACTGTTATATGCAAAAAGGTCAAGCATATTTTCTAAGTTGGCTTACAAAACAATTGGTGGGAATAACCTTTTTTCTTTCAGGACTAGCCTATTTAACATTGCTTGTTGGCATCCTAATATCTGTGTCTTGAGCCTTCATAGTGATGGGATTGGTTTTGGTACCTGACATGTCAGAAAATCCTTGTGGATCCTCTCTGCCTAGGGATAATGTGTCTCACATACAGACAAGTAAAATGCTGCCCTGGGCCTCTCTACTCTAATTTGAGGACTTTTAAAAGGCAGATAAAACTCCAAAAAGTTTGGGAATCATTGAGTTATAATCCTCTTCCTATATATGCTGTGGCTCATATTTTATATCTGAATAGACTTTGCTAATAGTTTCTACTAATGGCTTAACAAGAAGGCAACCATTGTACTTAGTTGGGGTTGACTACTTAAACTATATTTTTAAATCTTCATGGGGGGGTTTTCGGCCTAGGATGGGATATGGTCATTTAATTGCAATATTTTAATGGTTGGAAGTAGCCCAGCCATCTTCAATCTGACCCTTTTCAGATGTTTTTGACAACAAAAGCCTGCATTCATTGCTTAACTACAACATTTGTGTGTTGGAGTTTAACACATCTGGAAGGCCCAGATAGGAAAAACTGGACTGAGTAAACATGGATCTCAGGTGTGCTGGTGCTTCCTCCCTTGTTACTCAAAGGCCACTTAAAAATGACGGAGTACCATGAACTAATTTTGTCAATGGAAGTATTCAGTTTGATTAACTTCATTATGGCAGGATGTTTTGAGAGTTTTGTTTAACATATCCAACCTGTTAAATATGCAGCAAACCTTGGTGGCCGTGATCTTAATTGTCTGGATGGTGGTGGGGTTTTGCAAGAATTGTATATCTGCAGGGTTTTTTAAAAAAGTCTTTCTTTACTTTCTTGACAATTGCTTTTCTCTTTTTTTCTCCTCCTTGTCTGTCCTTCCTTTGCATCTATTCTTCCTTCTCTTTTCCCCCCCCTTTCTTTCTAGGGGGGAAATCTTCCCTTTTTCTTATTAAACCTATCCTATAGCAAAGCAATCACTGAAGCGCCGAGAATTTCTGTCTGAATGATTCTTACTACATCTGCGTCCTTCTGTGTTCTGCATCTCATAGGAAAAAGTAAGAGAGGGAAGAAAAACTGCTCCTCCTCCTCCTCCTCCTGCTTCAATGGTAACGTCCCACCTCTTACCTTTCAGTACAAAGCAAATTGCCCACAAGCCCCTTACACTTTTCACCACTGACTTTGGAAACGTCTGAAATGTGTTACGTGGAAATCCAGCCTGGAATGAGGGTAGAGAAATGTGAGAATTTGTAAGAAGGCAGGGGTTGGTTGATTCTTTGAGCAAGGTGGGGAGAGGCATGTCAGTCGCCATTTTCTTGAACTGGAATGTATTTTCACCCATCTTTGCTAGGTATATCACTTCTCTATAGTTCCTCTGCATCCTACCTGGGGCAATCTGTGTTTTGGACCTGATTTTTGCTTTGTGAACAGCAAATGCATCATGAAATGCTTCAGCTTTTTTTTTTAACGGAGCTCTTTCTCAAGATATCCAAAAAGCCCTAGCATGTTTGCCTAGAATCCTTTTGCAATATCTTTGCAAGGTTTTTATCAGGATAGAGCAGGAGCTGAACATCATCACAAATGGAGAGGTAGGAAGTGCCCTTTTATACTGTCTGAAACACCTCTGTGTCGTGCATGGTCAATCATCAGTAAAGCACAGGCTGCCTTGTGGAATAGTTGCTCCATACCTCTTGGTCCATTCATTAAAACAGGAGCATCCAACCTCAGTAACTTTTTAAGACTTGTGGACTGCAACTCCTAGAATTCCCCAGCCAGCCATGTTGGCTGGGAAATTCTAGGAGCTGAAGTCCCCAAGTTTTAAAGTTGCCAAGATTGGACACCCTTGCATTAGATACAAGGCTGTAAGTTGTTGAGTTTCTTAGAGCCCAGGGAAGAAATTGCCTAAGTCACTGTTATGGAAATAGCGCAACTACTTTCTTGGTCTCACTGGTCTAGCAAATCTGCATCTGTTACCACTTCCTAATCCAATAACACTTGAAAGTAACACAAATTCCAGTGCAGGACCAAGCAAGGTGGGAAGCTTCTAACTTAAGAGTTCAAGCAAGAGAACAGCCTCAATCCAAAGGCTGATCTGAGTCTCTAAGCTCATAGTGCCAATTTGGGCTGTTTGTTACTTTGAGGTAAGATTTGTGCCAGATTGTTAATGAATGCCAGCTGTTTGACTTGTTGCAACTTAGGAGAGCTTTGTGTGGGATTGGCTCAGTTCATGGAGGCAAAAGGGCTTGTTTCTGCAGACCTGACAGAAACCTACAGCTGCTGCTTCAGGCAGAAATCCAGCTGGCTTGTCAAACTGGTTGGTAATTAGTTTGCAGCCTCTTCTTTGACAAACACCATGGGGAAAGAATGAAGGGTGTCCTCAAGTTGTGTCAGGACAATAGTTCTTGTCAATCTTGTGCTTTCCAACTGGCAATAACTTGAATTATAGAACTGAAAAACATCAAGTGTGGTGGACTATTGGAACAGCTTTTCTTGAGAACTGGGGCAGATTGAGAATAATCTGAGGTTCCTGAAGTCAGTAATAATGTGAAAGGAAGGAAAAGGACAACATCAACCTTTAAATATATATTCATATGCAAATCTCACAGTTTAGTGGAGTTACATCTATGGAAATGTCATTGCAGCCCAAGAATATGAAAAAAGATGGAAAGATTCCCATTCTCTGAGAGAAGGAAGCATTGGATTTATTTCATTATGGATTATATACTTAGATAACATGTTGATATCTTATATGAAGTACATCCTTTAGTCAAGCAAACTTACACATATATTTGTTCCCTGAGATCAAATTCCAAATGCTTGCTGCTATGTTTATATCTTGCCACTCTGTTTGTTATTTTAAGAATTTTATAGAGTGATTCCTATGTATCCTATTTTAGGGTACAAATGTCAAAGAGACTTGTCCGGGGGTTGGGAAGCATCCTTTCCTTAATGTCCCAAATTTATCTGGGATAAGAAGTAATGTTTGGATCACAATTTTATAAGACAAAATGGAAAATGTGGTGGATTTTGGAAGAATTGGTATAATTGTTGAATAAACATTATGGGGGGATTCATCTCCCAGCGTGCGCTGGGGGTCCCCCTCCATAAACAGAATTGCAAACTATTTTTTCTCTCCCCATCCCCCTTCCTGGGTCTTTGAAAGCTGTAAACAGATGGCTTTTACTACATGGTTAATGGACTATATTGCAAATGGATTGTGTAATGGATACTGC